GGAAGGCAGGCTGGGCAGGCCTCCCACCAGCACCGGCCCGCGCGCGGGTGCTGGAAGAAAGAGGGCCTGACACTCATCATGGCCACTGGGGCTCAGGTTTTGAAAATGTTTGAGCTGGGTTGATCAAGCAATTGTTTATAAATATTTATTAAAATAGACTTGGGCCTTTAAACTTCTTTAAAATAGCAGTAATAGCTAGCGTTGAGCAGGCATCTGGGAGCTTGTGCTGAGTTGGAACCGGTACCTGGTCTCCCCTCTGGGCAGCGACACGCAGTTGGAGTGGAGGCTTCTCTCGTGTGCAGGACGCTTAGCGCTCCCCCCTGCCCCCGGCCCGTGGGCCTCTCTGCACACTCGAAACCTTTCATGCGAGTGCGTTACAACACTTCTGAGCACTGAGCTTCCAGGGACTTTCTGCCGAATATGTCCCTTCTCCCAAGAGAGGGAAGCAGCTAGGTGTGCCCCTCGCAGGAAGCCCAGGAAGCCCGTGTCTCATTCCCAGGGTAACCCCCAGGCCCAGGGAGGGGCATGAGTGAGCTCCCACCAGGCCCTGTTCAGCGAGGGGCTGTGAGAGAGCCAGGCGCAGGAGGGCCTGCAGGTTCTGCAGGAACTGCAAAGTGCCTTGGACATTCTGTTATTTTTGGGAAGTTCAAAGGCACAGGGACAAGGAGGTTGCAGACTGTAGAGAAAGGCTCTAGGCAGCTTTCTCTAAAACAAAACAAAGCAAAATAAAACAAAATTAAATTATCAGGGACTGGTCATGAGGAAAGGAAAAAGTTCCCTAGAATTGTTCTCAAAAATATCTTTTAAAATGGTACACACATACACACACCCCCATGGGTGATGATCAAAAAGTGTGTGATCACTGAAAAGTGAAATATCTCAAAGGAGAACGTCATAGTCCTTTATTGGATCGGTGTTTCTACAGCTCAGAGATAGTGTAGATTCTGAGGAACTCTTTTATTTATCTGAGCCCAAAACAAAATGTTTTTTGGGGCAGCAGGGAAAGGAGTAGCTTTGAACAGGGTTTCTTCGTGTTTGTAAGTTTGTATCGCCTCAGTGTGAAGGCCGTACCTATTTCAGGTTAACATCACGGATGGCCTACAACACCAAACACAATTTTTAATAGTTCATGGTGTAGAGTACACTTTGGATCTGCAGTTTCTGTCTCCGTATTGTTCACATTTATTTAACATTTATAAACATTGACTCTTTGCAACAGAGTGACTTGGGCTTGCAGTGTTGGGGTTAGGAACCTAGCTTTTCTAATGTTAACTTTTCAACACACAAACTTTTGCTTTGGGATTTCTTTTTTAATTTTAAGATTTCAGAAGTGGAATGTAGTGTGTTAGAAGTGTGCACAAAACTATTTGGCATGGTTTTTGTTTTGATTTTTCTTGCCATGTGAATTCTACTTTTTAGCAAAATAAAACTCCCAAAAGACTGCAAAAACAGTTTTCTGTGTAAAGTGTTTCATGAGACACTGAAAGCAGGGTTTTCTATATGGCCACCAACGAAGCCAGCCGATGCGAAAGGCCAGGCCGCTGTGCTGGCCAGTGGCCCGAGGTAGCCACCCGGTGAGGTGCATGCACGCTCGCAAAGTGGTTTCCAGGTAAATGAAGCCCAGCCTGGCCTTTCTTTTGGAAAGGTTTATTTATCTAGCTACTTGGTGGTTGAATATTTCATATTTATTTTTATTCTGCTCTACATGGCTTCATATCTTAAAAAGTTGCTATATTTTCTTCCATATCTTTAGTTTTGCAATAAGCTCAGAGAAAAATCCTCTCATGACATTAAGAACAAAAAGACCTTTCTGAGGGTCCTGTGCTTAATAAAACCAAATCTTTTCCAAGGTACTCTGTTTCTAGGCATTACTTGAAAAGAAAGGACATTTTTTATAATTTACTTTTGAGTATCTAAGTCATATTTTGAAAGAGCTATGCAATTACAAGTAGAAAGAAAATCTCATTATTTTAGTACTTTTTAAAGCTATAGCAGTTCTTAAAATCTGTGAGGGAGGCATTGAAATTTGGGGAGGGATCTCAGATCACCTGGACATCCTCCAGATGGGGCGGGTGGGGTGAGGAGGGGCTGAGGCCCAGAAGAGAACAGTTTCCCAGGATACACCAGCCGGGGATGCAGTGGGAGCAAGAGAAGAAACATGGACTTGGACATGGTAAACCAGGCTTATAGCAAGGCTGATCTAATCCTACCCACGTGACACTGGGAGAGTCTCTCCAAGCCTGCCTCTTCACCTGGAAATGAGGCATTAACACCTGCCTCACAGTGACAGTTTGGGAACCACATGCAATAACCTTTGGAAGAAAATTGCAATACAAATGTTAGTTATTATCACCGATAAAGTGGGGTCGGAACCCAAGCCTTCACTCCTGCTTCATTTTCTTTTAAAATATATTTTATTGATCTTTTACAGAGAGGAAGGAAGAGGGACAGAGGGTCAGAAACATCGATGAGAGAGAAACATTGATCAGCTGCCTCCTGCACTCCCCCCCAACTGGGGATGTGCCCGCAACCAAGGTACATGCCCTTGACCGGAATCGAACCAGGGACCCTTCAGTCCGCAGGCCGATGCTCTATCCACTAAGCCAAACCAGTTAGGGCACTCCTGCTTCATTTTCATAATTCCTCCAACTTCTCCATCCAGAAAAAAAAAAATCCATTGGGAAAACCAGCAGTGAGAATAAATATGACACAAATAGCTCAGAAGTATGAACCATGTAGATCAGAATTTGGTTTCCAGTAGTTTCCCTTATCTATGGGGAATACGTTCCAAGACCCCCAGTGGATGCCTGTATATACTGAACCCTATACATACTTTGTTTTTTTCTATGTATACATATTTGTGATAAAACTTAATTTATAAATTAAGCAGAGTAAGAAATTAGCAATAAAAATGAAGCAATTATAACAATATACCATGATAAATGTTATGTGAATGTGGTCTGTCTCTCTCACTCACAGTATCTTATTGTACTGTGCCTACAGTGTAGATATGCTGAACAAAAGGAGGATTCACAGCTCAGGTGAGATTCCATCATGCAATTTAAAACTTACGAGTTGTTTATTTTTGGAATTTTCCATTTCATATTTTCAGACCACAGCTGACTGTGGGTAACTGAAACCACAGACAGTGAAACCATGGATAAAGGGGGGCTACTCACCTTGTACCAACCTTTCTGTCCTCTTCACTGAGGACTTATGAACAGAATAAAAATTGTTTATTCATTTGCTCACTTACTCATTCTTGTAACAAATATTTATTGAGCATTTACTACGTGTCAAACACTACTCTGAACACTGGGAACATGAGAGTGAATAAAAGACAAAATACACTCTTTTCATGGAACTTAGATTCTAGTAATTTGGAATCAACCAACCCAATAAGTAACTAAATTATGCTGGATTAGTTCTGAGGAGAAACATTTTCACAATTGAAAGCTTCTCTACAGGGTAACACCATCACTGAGCTGGACTCAGACTCACTAATAATAAAGACATGGCGTGAAGGGTGCATTTTGGATCCAGTGTCAGAAACAGCTACATACGCGGTTCCCGTGAGACTCAGCGTAGGCAGGTGAGCTGGAGGAGCATAGGTCCCTCAACCAAGAACCTGCTTAACTTGTCTGAGCACAGACCATGGAACTCCAATTCGGAGCACACTGCCTAACACCTGAGCTCAGTCTTCCCTGAACTCTAGCTTTCCCAGGACAACCCCAATATCAAATCACCTTTCTTGATGTTCCACTTACACGTTTGAACCGTTTCCACAACTTGGGCTTTATTTTTAGAGCTGCTTTAAGTTCACAGTGTAATTGAGCAGCAGGCACACAGATTTCCCATGTACCCTTTGACCCCACTCATGTATAGCCTCTCTCGTTATCAGCATCCCCACCAGATCAGTGCATTTATTACAATCGATGAACCTACATTGACACATCATTATCACCCAGAGCCCATGGTCTACATTAGGGTTCACTCTTGGTGTTGCACAGTCTATAGGTTTGAAAAGTCTATTATGACATGTGTCCATCATTAAATATCATACAGAGTCGTCCTAAGAATCCTCTGTTCCACTTACTCATGTCCACCTCCCTCTTAACCCTGGCAACCACTGATCTTTTTACTGTCTCCAGAGTTTGGCCTTTTCCAAGATGTCATATAGCAGGAATCACACAGTGTGTGGCCTTTTCAGATTGGCTTCTGTCAGTACAATATGCACTTATCTTTTCTCCAGGCCTTTTCACGGTGTGAGAGCTAATTTCTTTTTAGTGCTGGGTAATATTCCAGTGCAGTGGCCGACCCTTTCTTCTCTGACGTCCCGAGGTTTGGTTTTGTCGCAGGGATGGAGGATGATGGTGCAGAACAGCCTCTGCTCCCACGAAGCGC